ACATTGTTGCATGTGTCATTTAGCAACAAAAGGATATACTTGGTGGAATTGTTTACTTTTTGTCTTTATGAGAAAATATGTAAGTTGTCATTTTGTAATTGTGTCAGGTGTTAGAGAAAAAGGAACAAGCTAGAAAATGGGCTGGACCTCATGTGGAGACAATCAAAACTGTAAGCGACTTCCTTAATTAGGTTTACTTATCTTTCCACTTTGTTTATGTATACGATCACATTATGTTGAGATTAAGCCTTTTTGTTTCTCTATTATTGTTTTTTGTTAGTCTGTTTCCCTTTGAAGTGTTATGAAGCTTTAATTTCAGTTCATTCTTTGTTCTTTGTTATACCTTGTGTAGTTTCATAATTGTTCTAATTAATTTTTTATGTTGTATTTATAAATATACACAGAAATGGGTCCCATTGGTTGTTGAACAGTATCTGCAACCACTGGCAAAAAATATCAATTATGTTTATATTGAATCCAAGGATGTTGCAATTCAACAATGGGTGTGCATTACACGGAAGATCAACGCTTTTCTTCAAGCATAAATTTGAGGTGTGCAGCTGCTGGTAACTAACACTTGGTTTCTTTTATGCGAGGGAGGCTTAGGCTTTAGCATTTTTGTTGACTGCATTAGCGGTACATATACGATACTTTTGTTGTCAAGATTGTAATGAATATGGACTACTTAGATATAACAACTATATCTATGTTTGTATTTTTGGGTTTACATTGTGATAAGAATCCGGAATCACTAGACACCAATTAGCATAATTAACATAGAATTATACATGTATATTCTAGAAGGCTCAAAAGGGCAATTTGGGAAAAGTGGCTAAAGTTGGTTAGAGAGAGAGAGAGAGAGAGAGAGAGATGTTTATATTGATACTCTTTGTATTGGCGACTCTAGCCTTGTGGCCGTGAGAGAAGATATATAAGACTAGCGAATTATCGCGCGTTGCGCAAGTTAAGATCATGTAGTTATTCATATTAACTACGAAATAATAATTCTTACGTTATGTTGATATATATGATTGTTAGTTTTTTGAACAATATGATCAGATAAACATATATTGCAATCAAATTTTACAATGACCTCTAGACATAGTTTACGCTTGAATAAAATTAAATACAATTCTTGATTTAATGTTACTTTTGACTATTATACTGATTAATTAATTTAAAATTTATTTATTTAAGTGATTATTATTTTTAACTATTGTTAGGATTAACTAATTAAAAAATTATATATATATATATATATATATATATATATATATATATATTCATTCCTAATAATTGTCTCCCCTAAATGCCACATGTCACTTCATTATGCACCATCCTTCCATGTGTCCACTTCTCAATTCTCTGCAGATAAAAATTCCCGCCCATTGCATTAAATATGAAAACCAATTACAAAATTACAAAAATTAAATAAAATAACTTTCCATCAGATCACATTTAAAGAAAACGACATTCTGGGAAACTTCCTACTAATTAGCAACCTTGTTGCCATATTCTAAGAGGGGCGGGTGTGGGCAACGCCCGTATGGCGTTATCCGATGTGGCAGCGCCATAACGGGGGAACACCCCCCCCCCCCCTCCCGTTATTAGATGTTATGTTATCTCGCGCGATGGTGGTAACGTATCTTAACGCGTAAAAAATCGACCGTTTGCAAATTCAAACCGTTTAAAAACGGTAACTTTAATAAAAAAAAAATTTACTAATTACATTTTCATTTTATATATATACCTCATTCTTTTTACTACACATATTTCTCTATATCTATCTCTATTTTCTGTATCACTCAAAACACAAACACAAAAATCAACCAACTATGGATGAATTTGATCCGGCCCATCCGTACAATGATGATAACGACGAAGACGATTTGTTCGTGAGTATAATGTACCGGTATTACACAGACATCCTATTACAGCCAGATCCAGCTCCACTACTCACGCGACGTGCGGCGTTAAATAGAGATCGTGAGGAAGGGCATCGGCGGCTAGTTAACGATTATTTTGAGGAAAATTGTGTCTACCAGCCAAGCGATTTCAAAAGAAGATTTTGTTTGCGAAAAAATGTCTTTGAAAGGATAGCCAACGCTATGGAAGCAAGGTATCGTTTGATTCAACTTTTATAATTTACAAAATGTCACTTTTAGATAAAATAAATACAATTTTTACATGTTTAATATTTAAATTAGGTATGAATTTTTCCAAATGAGATATGATGCTAGAGGCAAACGAGGCTTCACAGGGTTGCAAAAATGTGTTGCTGCAATTAAACTTATGGCAATAGGGGAGTCGCCCGATTCTGTTGACGATTATATGAGAATGTCTGAGAGGATCGCACGAGAAAGTTTGTATTTATTGGCAAGATGTGTTGTCGAAACCTTCGGTGACCAATACTTGCGCAAACCTTCGTTGCATGATATGCAACAACTATATGCGGCGCATGAAGAAAGACATGGTTTTCCGGGTATGCTTGGGAGCATTGACTGCACACACTGGAAATGGAGAAATTGCCCCGTGGCGTAGAAAGGCCAGTATTCGAGCGGTCATCATGGAGCGCGTTCGTTGGTATTAGAGGCTGTTGCTTCACAAGATTTATGAATTTGGCATGCTTTTTTCGGGGTTGCGGGTTCTAACAACGACGTCAACGTTCTCGATCAATCACCAATATTTGACGATCTTTTGTCAGGAAAAGCCCCGGATGCTCCTTTCACAGTGAATGGAAATGAATATAAGTTTGGGTATTACCTTACAGACGGAATATATCCACAATATTCCACGTTTGTGAAGGCGTTTCGACACCCAATAGATCCAAAGGACAAATATTTCAAGAGACGACAAGAAGGAGCATGTAAGGACGATGAACGTGCTTTTGGGGTTTTGAAATCAAAATGGCACATAGTTGAACATGCGGCGAGACCTTATGAGTTAGATACTCTACGATATATCATGTATGCATGTATCATAATGCATAACATGGTTGTCGAAGATAAAGGACGCAATATTGCAACGTATTCTCCTACGGAGCCAAGATATGTGCAATTTCAACCGGGGACATCGGAATATTTACATAGAGTGGTTGATATTCAAGATCAGCGAAAACACATGCAACTCCGTGAAGACTTGGCGGATTACATTTATGTTGGTCACGAAGATGAAGATGAATAGTTTTAGGCCAAAAAATGTAGGTTTTATCATCTTTTTTTTTTGTTTTCTGGCTTTTTAGGTTTTTAAATGTTTTTGTGTTTTGTTGTAATTTTTTTTAATGTTGTTTTTAATTTAAGTTTTATTAAAATTTTATTTTTACTTTTCAAATATAAATAAATAGAAAAACAAATTCGAAATATAGAAAAAAAAACATCAAAAAAAAAAATAAAAAAAAATAGAAAATAATTGGTGTTATCACATGTTATTAGATGTTGCCCATTTCCACCTTGGGTGTTATAACACCAAATTGTGACTAGGATGATGAGGTGGCCAATTTGGGTGTGATAACATGTAATAACATGTTGCCCACACCTAGTAGTCTAAGCAATTTGAATAAGTTTGAATTGATATTCTAAGCAATTTTGAATATGTTTGATTTGATTTATCTTTTACCAATTTACCAATTATATATGCATTATAATAGGAACTAATTGCATTTGAGATTTTATCATTTATCATTTACATATATATATATATATATATATATATATATATATATATATATATATATATATATATATCTAAAAATCTAAAATTAATTGTTTACCTTTAAGTCTTTCATAGCTTCGTTTCTCTTTACGTCTTCTTCACTGCTACTCTGGTAATTCATTCTCATCTATATTTTTTCTTCTGTTGAAATAAGTATTGGTCTTCTGTTTACAGTTCTCCTTCTCTTCCTATTATGCGTATATTTCTTCTTCTTAACAAAAACATGTTTATCAGTGAACTATATACACATCAAAAAAATTATATTGTTTATTGTTTGTCTTTAATAAATTGACGATTGTTCCATGTTGTGTACGTAAGGTTATTGATAATAACCTGTTTATACCTTCATAGCCGATGTGGATGTTATTGACGATTATGCCCTGTTGATACCTAATTGCAACAACATGTTTACTGATTTTGAGTGTGGCTGTGATTATCTATACAAAAATATGTAGATCAGTGAACTATATACGCATCAAAGAATTGATATTGTTTATCTTTAATAAATTGCATATTATGCCCTTTTCTGTACAAAGGTTATTGATACCTAATAATCGCAACAAATAGTTTACTGATAATAACCTGTTCATACCTTCATAGCTGATGTGGATGTTATTGACGATTATGCCCTGTTGATACCTAATTGCAACAACACGTTTACTGATTTTGAGTGTGGCTGTGATTATCTTAACAAAAATCTGTTGATCAGTGAACTATATACGCATCAAAGAGTTGATATTGTTTATCTTTAATAAATTGCATATTATGCCCTTTTTTGTACAGAAGGTTATTGATACCTAATAATCGCAACAAATAGTTTTCTGATTTTGAGTGTGTCTGTGTATGTTATGGTCGAAAATCTTATATACTTATTTTTATTGTTGCTTTTCTGTTATTTTTTTTTCTCTATTGACTATTTTGTTTATCTATCTGTAATTATACCATTTCTGTAAAAAAAAAAAAATTATCTATGTCCACATACCATTAAACTAAACTATCACAAATATGTGTTGTTTCTTAAAAGTGAGATTATTTGATGCATTTTGAAGTGGGTGTGAATCTTATAATATTCATTTATAATGAAAGAGAGTGGGGATGCCCTATACAAGTAGGCAATAATCCTTTTTTCATTCAATTATGTTTGAAAACAAAATTAATTTGACTGTAATTTTCATCTTTATAGATTTTCATAATTTCATTTCCGCAAACATTAATTACTATTGATTACATATGGTATGAAACTCTTCTATTTAATTAATTTTTATTTTTTCTCCTTTTTTTGCAGATAAATGGCAGCACCAAATATTACCTTCATAGCTGATGTGGATGTAACTAGGGATGACTTGACTTTCAAACTTCGTGTCATAAACCTTCGGCATCAAATGTCTTTCTACAACAAAAATGAAATTTGGTCAATTGAAATGATCTTAATGGATGAACATGTATGTTACAAAAAATATTTTTATATATTTCTTACACATATTTCCTTAAATTTAACTACTTTACAACTTTTTCTTATTGTATTAAATATTTTTAGGGGAACAAAATCCAAGCAATGGTCTCCAAACGAAACTTATATCGCTTCAAAAATGTAGTGAATGATGGGATGACATTTTACATCAAAGGTCCAAACTTTGCAGCATTGAAGACGGGTAGTTTTAAGTTAACTCCTCATGATTAGAAATTCACATTCGTCCAACAAACTGTTGTTACAGAGTGTAACGATTTTTCTGGATCTCTGTTTGGGTTTTCATTTGTTGATTATCAAACTGTGTTATCATTGACCCATCCTCAAGATACATCTGTTGGTTAGTACATATCATTATATGTTTAAATATAATATTATATTTTCCAATTCCAAACATAACATTCATTTGCCTATTTTTTTTTGTTTTATAGATGTTATGGGTTTGGTTGTTGCAATTACTGAGATACAACAAGGTCATCCAGAGAAATCAAAACACAGGCTGAACATCCGCATCCAAGATGCAAAGTTGATTTTCTTATATGTTTACATCTTCTAATTTATAAATTTTAAATTATATTATCTAAATATATCATTTTTTTTATAAATAAATTGCTTTTCAGCGGTTTGCAACTTCATGTCAATTTGTGGGGTGAATATGCGTACAAGATGCTTGATTATATACATAACAATCCAGACAATCGTCGCATCGTTGTTATTCTTCAGTTTGGTCAGATTAATGTTTGGAGAGGTGTTCAAATTATGTTATTAATATTTATGTTGTCCTCAATAAAATAATATTTTATATATATATATATATATATATATATATATATATATATATATATATATATATATATATATTTGTTATAGATCGTCCAAGTGTAAACACCTACTTTACCTCTTTCAAGTTGTTCATTAACTCTGACACAGATGAAATTACCAATTTCAACAAAATGTAACTTATGTTTTATTCTGTTTGTTGTACAATAACATCCTTTACGTGAATAATTTTTTTTTTTTTTGCATACATAACAGTTTGGATGGAGATGATGATTTCATGTGTTATTTTTTGTTTCAATTTAATATGTTTCTTTAAATAGTTTGACCATGTTTTGTGTTTTTTTATGTTTGTATTATATAAATTAAATATATTTCATTTACAGTTGTCTTGTGTATGTTAATCTAAAGTACATACCTTTTTTTTGTAGAAATGTTTTTTCGTTATCGTGGGCACTATAAAGGGAATTTTACAAAACCAAAAATGGTATTATCAAGCATGTACCAACTGTTTTGGAAAAGTAAATGAAAATGATGCTCATCAAACAAAGACTTATGAATGTCATAATGAAAATTGCACAAAAACTACCACTTCGGTTGTTCCAAGGTTGTTACTTTACACTTGAATCGTAATGAACTATCTAATATTCCATGTTTATCACAATATTAATATTATTATCAAATTTTTAATAGGTTTATGATTCCTATACGCGTGCAAGATAATATAGGACCTCTAACCTTAACCATGTTTGAGAGAGAAGGGAGGTATCTGTTGAAGCAGTCAGCTAAAGAGTTTGTTAAAAAAATGATTGAGGTCTTCTCCTTATTTCATGATAATCATATAACTTTGTTATATACTATCACTTTAAACAAAATGTTTTTAATTGCAGCGTGGAGACGATCTAGGTTTATATCCGGGGGAAATTAATGCATTGAAAGGTTTGAAATTGGCCTTTAAAATTTCTATTACAAAATTCAACGTGTCTAACAAAAACAACCAATATGGTATTGCTAGAATCAGTGATGATGAGACTTTAATCGAACAACTTGAAAATAAGTTCGCCGAGTCACAAGTTATTTTATTACTTATTTTTCGTTTATTTTATTTAAATATTCTTTTACTTTTTAGAACATTATTTTATTGTTTATTTTTTGTATTATACAGCCTTCTAATTCACAGTCGTTAGATTTTGGTTCGGTCGATTTGCAATCTCAAGATATCAAAAATTTAAAGGTTAAATACATTTAAATTTTTTTTACATATTCTCTAAAACATAAATTCATTTAAGCAATAATAATATTATACGATTATATTTTTTTTAGGATGCAGTTTATGGCACAGACGATAACATAACTCCTTCCATTATCGACAAAAACGACACAACAAGTCCAATGAAGATTTTGAACACAACACCGGTCTTAAAGCGAAATCTGGAAGAAGTTTTCGATTTAGAGATGAATGATCACTTATCTACATCAAAAACTCCAAAATTATCTCCGGATGGTCCAGGAAAACAATTGTTGAAAGTAAAGTTGGAGAAAAATGACTGGTTTATTCTTTTCTGGGATATTTTAATAGTTGTTCCATTTTGCAATTGCATGGACAATTACTTCTTTTAATTTGCATACTGGATTTTTCACATTGTGGTTTTTCATGGTTCAAACATTTGTTTCCTATGATTGTTTTTAAATGGTTGTTTGATGTTAACTTTTTATTACCATGTTATAGCATCATACTTTTATAATTTTTAGTTATGGTTATTCGTATTGTTACTTTTCTGTTCATTTATTCTCTATTAACTTTGTTATGATAATATTAATACAAAGTGATAATAAATCTAACCTTATGTCCAGTGCAGTGACTCACACCATAAATCCACCATCAGATCCCAAGATCTACCATTTCATATCTTAAATTACCTGCAATAAAAACAATAAGATGCATATTGCTATCTTATCATCAATTGTATTCCAAATTTAAAAAAGATGATCAATTCCCAAAAAAATAATGTTCATTATTATAGTCTTCTTAAATTTTAATTTTTAATATCTGAATATACACTTTTTTATTTTTTGTTTCTCCTGCCCAATTCATCATTCACCTAAAGATTATTGGATTCCATGAGAAATACATCCTCATAAAGCCTTTTTGCCTGACTCAACAACTTAACCTTCTCTATGAAATTTCATGTCCTTAAGTGAGATCTTTGTTGTAATGCCACACCCCATCTAAAAATAGCTGCAAACACAAAATAAGTTTGATGTCATTCATGTCTTTTTCACGAATAAGATATCATAAACAAAAATGTATTATCAAGTCGGGACAAAACTGAGGGCATTCACGTCATTTCCAAAAATGGGATAAAAAAGCTGAAACTTTTGTCCATTTTTGTCCCACTAATATATGTGTCAGCCCAATGCACGTCAAACACAGTACAAGACAGTTTAATATTACCATCCGTTGTGTGATAATTACTTTTGTACATCATTGCATCGAATTTGTCATTGGCAGCCATGTAAACCTTGTCAGCATCTAAAGCCGCCTCCTGAATTCGTAACATTAAAAAAATATAAACCAGAGTTTTAGTTTTATAAAAAAAAAAACAAAAAATAAAACATTTCTTTTAGTCTTACAGGTCCAATATCTGCAATCAATTGAGCTCTGAAGGAAATAGCAAGACCACAGTTATACAATGCTCTCATATCATTCCCATCAGTTGATAATGTCAGCGTGTACTTCCTTCCTTCCCGCTTTAACCAAAAGTTACTCACACTCTTCACAGACATTACTCACATAGAGTTCCCTGTGTGTAAAAATTACTCACATAGAGTTTTTAATTTTTCTTTGCATAAAAGTAAAGCATAAATGGAAATAAAAATAAAACTATGATGCAATATTACACACAAAAACTAAAGTAACTTTCTATTTTCTATAAATTAACAGTTGCTGGTGATAATGTCATAGTGAAACTTACGTTCAGTTATGAAACTTACCTATGTAACTATGTTCTAAATATTAACTGTTTTTTTTAATATGGTACCTTCGAGTTCTAAAAAAATAGTTTGAATCAATGATTGAATGGTCCGTTTTTAAATTTAAATAAATTAACATAAATGGTCCTGTACAAAACTAATCCATAAATGGAAAAAAATAAATAAAGTATTATGTTAAATTGCATGACTGATTGAATGGTCCGTATTCTTATAAATTACCATGGTTTATGCCAAAGGTTTATGTTGGTAACCCGTTTCTCACTTCTCCTCATAAACTTTTCCCTACCATTGCTTCAATAATGAAAATCAATTACAAAAATTTACATAGAAAACGTAAAATAAAATAAAATTAAAAGAAACGAACTTTTTGGAGTTATCTTACTAATTGAGAAATTAAATATCCCTCTACTTTTGTTCCTACAAATCTTCCTACCCAATTAAATGATTACATGTGTCATATTAGTGTATAAAAATATCATTAAATGTTACATATGTTACTATTTAATTGGGTAGGAGGATTTGTAGGAACAAAAAGTAGGAGGATATTTAATTTCTCCTACTAATGAGCTTCTCAGTTGCCATATTCTAAGCAATCTATTTGAATTTTTTTGAATTGATTTATCTTTTACCCATTATATCTGCATTATAATGGGAATGTAATCATCTTTGCGATTTTATCATTTATTATTTATATTATATTATTTACATTTACAATTATATAAATCTGTATCTAAAATTATTTGTTTACCTTTGCGTGTTTGAGACTTTGGTTCTTTGTACGGCTTCTGGTCTGCGACTTTGGTAATTCATTTTCATCTATATTTTTTCTTCTGTTAAAAAAAGTATTGTTCTTCTGTATACAGTTCCCTTTTGCTCATGGTATGCGTATATTTTTCTTTATTGTGTTGCTTTTTTCTTATAAAAAACTGTTAACTGTCCGTCTACCCATCAACCATGATCTATACGAATGGTTATTGATACATAATTGCAACAAAAAGTTAACTGGTTTTGAGTGTGATTGTGTATGTTATGGTCGAAAATCTTATAGGGTTATTCATATTTTTAGTTTTTTGTTCATTTATTCTTTATTAACTTTGTTATTATACAATATCCTAAAAATGATTGATTATCTTAACAAAAACCTCTCCATTAGTGAACTATTTTTCAGATAAAAACGATATTCTTTCTCTTTACTAAAACGACCATTATGCCCTTTTTCTATATGTATTTATCAGATATCATGTTTTATACTTTTACCTAATAACGCAACCTACTTTTACATATGCATATGTATACCACAATAACTCATTCATATTGATGTTATATAGTTGAAAAATATACTTCTTTTAACAAGTGTCAATTTGGACTTCTTTATGCAAGTAAATAATGACACTTTAACTACTTTTCATATGCAAATTCAATTTCAATATCTTACAACAATTTGTTATGAAGTTGTTATTTTAATTCTTTTTTCACAGAAATGGCACCACAAAATGTTACCTTTGTAGCTGATGTAGATGTAACTAGGGATGACTTGGCTTTCAAACTTCATGTCATAAACTTGTGGAAGCAAATGTGTTTCTAAAACAAGGATGAAATTTACTCAATTGAAATGATCTTAATAGATGAACAGGTAATTAGAAAAATTAAAAATATTTTTTCTTTATATATACAAAATATAATTTACTTATAAATGCCAATTCATATCATACTTCTTTTAGGGAAACAAGATCCAAGCAATTGTCCCAACAAAAAACATCTACAAATTCAAAGATATTATAAAAGATGGCCATGCATTTTACATAAAATTTCCAATCTTTGAATCACAAAGGATAAGTGGTTTGAGGTTAACTCGGTTTCATCATAAACTTACTTTTGTCCATAACACTGTTATTACTGAGTGTGCTGACTTTTCTGGACCTACATTTGGTTTTGAGTTTGTTGATTATCAAACGATTATCTCATTGATACATCCTCAGAACATTGCTATCGGTTAGTTTATTTTAATATATTTTAATTATTGTCAAATTTTATTTTTGACTAAAATATTATATATTTAAATTCACAAGAATGTTTCGTTCTTCGTTGTTATTTTTCATAGATGTAATTGGATTGGTAGTTGCTTTTGGTGACATGTTGCGAGATAATTCCGATATGAAAAAACACAGACTCAACATCCAAATACAAGATGCAAAGTATGTTTTATACACACACACAAACTTATGTGTGTGTGTGTATATATATATATATATATATATATATATATATATATATATATATATATATATATATATATATATATATATATATATTATAATTATTTCAAGTAATTTGAATCATTTTTTTTCCAGTGGTTTACAAATTCGTGTCACTTTGTGGGGTCATTATGCCTACAAAATGCAAAAATTTATTGATAACAATCCACACAGTCTTCGAATAATTGTCATTCTTCAATTTGCGATGCTTAAAGTTTGGAGAGGTATTTATTTTTCTTATTATATTTTATTTTATACTAATTTAAATAACACTGTTGCTTAAAGTTTTGAGAGGTAATTGATTTTCATATTATATTTTATTTTATAACAATTTAAATAACACTTATACAATTTTGTTTAGATCAACCCACAGTTAACACATATTTTTTCGTGACAAAACTTTTCATTAACACCGACATTGATGAGATCAATGTTTTCAAAAAAAGGTAATTTATGTTTTATCATTTTTTCTATAATTACCCTTTATGTCACTAATAATGCTTATTTTTTTTATAAACACAGTTTTGATGGAGATGATCCCCCTGATACCTCTTCGAATACAAATAAATTCATTCCATTTAATCAAGTTTGTAAGCATGATGATTTAATACATAAATTTCAGTTCAAGACTAATGCAGATGTGTTGGAACAAAGTAAAGAAATTGTGAAGGTTACATTGTGAAACTGTTGCTGAGTTTTAATTTTAATAGGAAGTTTGAAAAACTTTGTTTGTTTACATTCGTGGTTTACAAGGTTGAAACATTTGTTCAACATCATTGTTTGTTTTAGTGGTTTCTTACATAAATTATGGATTATACATTATTTTTTTCGCATATCTATCTTATAAAAAAACTTTTGTTAATGTTATTAGTTGTTTAATCTATTTTTTCCGTATATTAAAAATCCTACTTCAGGGATATACATGCAATTTTTTTCTTTAATATATTTTGGTTTTATAGAGCTTACAATACAAAAATAATCTTAAACACACTTAATACAAGATATAATAGAAGATTGTTTACGAGTTTAAACCTATTTAGACACCATCATCATTTGAACTCAAATCACTAGACACCCCACTTGACTGATACACACTACCTACAATCTAATTAAAAAGTCGAAATAAAAATTTGTCAATACGAATATTTGCAAATTTAATTATTGAATACATTTTTTTTATATCAGATCAAAGAAGTTTGTCAAGAGCTTTCGTTTTCTGCTATAAGGATACCTTTAAAAGATTAGTTGTAACCCCTATCTAATGGATGTTGCCTACATTTGGGGTGTGTTTATTGTCATATTGACAATTACGGTGTAACAGGTGTTCGTCCTGGTTAAATTGAGGAAGGAGAAATGTTTACAAGTTTACAG